TTTTAACAGGGCAGAATTATAACCTGTCACCAGTTCTGTTTGTCTCTGTTTTGCGTCCGTGAAGCAGTTCAAGGGCAAGTGATCGTGGGAGGGATTTTGGTGGTGCTCCAGGCAAAACATTAACAAATATTGGCAGAAGAGCTTCAGTATTGTACGCGATCTTAATGTTCCTCCCCTCCTGCCCGCTTCTGTCTCTCATTCACTGCCAGACGCCCTTTCTGTGTCTTCTGTGTCTTCTGTGTCTTCTGTGTCTTCTGTGTCTTCTGTGTCTTCTGTGTTGCTGTCATTTATTTCGCTGTGAGTGCAGATTTGGAATGTGTTGTGCTGTGTTCCAGCTTCCGGCCCATGACTTGTGTGCTGGAGACGAGTGACAGGAAATCGTGGTGGGAGGGATTTTGGAGGCGCACCAGGCAGAAACATTTACAGATGTACAGATGTTTGCCCGGGGGCTCCAGAACGGCGTGCGACCTTCTTTGGCGCCCCCCTCTCCCCCACCTCAGCCTCGCTTCCGTCTCTAAAACCTTTTTGCCTCCTTCTGTCCTCATCTTTTTTCCTGCATCCGTCTCTCCTGTCGGCCTCACGACGCCACCCGAAGTCAGCTCTTGTCCGGCTGCAGAGATGTCGCCCTGCCGGGCTGGGGTTCAGTAAGATGAGGGGGTACGATGAAGGCATCTTCCCGGGGAAACATCTTGAGCCGAGTCGCCCTCCCTCCCTCATCTTCCCTTTCTGCCATCTCTGCAGCTTTGCGGCTTCTATTCCCTTCCAACCGGAACGGCTAATTACTGTGCAATTACAGGGGGACTGTTCTGTTTTTATAGTCGCCTCTCCTCGCCGTCGCCTGGCTATAATTACTGCTGCATTCCTGCGAGATAAAACAGCGCTGGTCTCTTCTTGCAGAGGTCTGGCCGGAGGTACCGGCAGAGCGTCTGCGGGGAGGGAGAGGAGGACAGCACCCCGACTGTGAGCAGGGGGCGGCCCACGGGCCCTGGATCAGCGAGGAGACCCCCCCGGCCGAGCTGAGGCACCGGAGGTGGGCACACCCCCGCACGCCCGGGGGGCAGAGGTGGGGGAGAACCGGGATATGCCCGAGGACAGATCCCGCCTAGGCCAGCGGACCTGAAGCAGCCGGAGCAGGGGGCGTGCCGCGGAGGGATGCTGGCGTCGGGAACGCCAGGGGCTGGACGGGCAGGACGGACTCCTCTGGTCGAGGTCTCGGCTGAAGGACGGAGCACCAGGGGCTTCGGTAACTCACTCAGGGACTCGGGGGCAGAGCAGGAGACCTGAGCTGAGAACTTCCTGATATTAAAAAAACCAGCTGTCCTCCAGGTATATATCAAGACTGGACCAGTTGTCCTGCTGGTGTGACAGCCCTGTGTCTTCACCACTGGACCAGCTGTCCTGCTGGTGTGACAGCCCTGTGTCTTCACCACTGGACCAGCTGTCCTCCTGGTGTGACAGCCCTGTGTCTTCACCACTGGACCAGCTGTCCTCCTGGTGTAACAGCCCTGTGTCTTCACCACTGGACCAGCTGTCCTCCTGGTGTGACAGTCCTGTGTCTTCACCACTGGACCAGCTGTCCTGCTGGTGTGACAGCCCTGTGTCTTCACCACTGGACCAGCTGTCCCCCTGGTGTAACAGCCCTGTGTCTTCACCACCGGACCAGCTGTCCTCCTGGTATATAACAAGACTGGGCCTTGACCACTGGACCGGCTGGACTGGCACGAGTCGGGACACAGAGGCAGGGGAACGTCGAACGGCCCGGGAGGAAGACAGGCGAGAACAGAGCCGGAGTGTGCTGTCAGCACCGCACCCCACGAGGCCGGGCAGAGACACGGCGGGGGGGACCAGCGTGCTCCAGATGTGCGGCCCAGCTGTGCCAGGGGGCGTGGCCGGGGGCTTCGCGGGGAGGTGATCTCCCAGGCGCCAGCGGGGGAAACGCGAGCCTGTAATAAGCCTCAATTTTGTTTTCTGCGATTCTGCTTTCCTGGCTGTGTCTCTTTCCGCCTGGCTCCGGCCGCACTCCGGCTGCCCAGTCCTGAACTCCGGGGCTTGTGGGAGCCTGTGGGAACATAAAAGCATCTTTTCTCTGCAGACTGCATTCCAGCTGAGCCGCGGGCGAGCTTCTGGAGCGACACGGAGCGACGCAGCAACCCAGAGCAGATCTTTCTATAGCGCCTTTCTTCCCCCTGGGGCTTGAGGCTTTTTTTTACAGGCCTGCAGTAAGTTTGTTTTGCCTCGAATTCTGCAAGGAATCTGAAACGACAGCGTTTTAGTTTCTACAGCGGAGAAGATCTCCTGTTCTGTGACCACAGCTCTGCGGCTCCTCCCTCTCCCCGATTCCGATACTGGAGCGCCTCCCGCCTCCCACCCAGGGGGGCTGAAAGGATGGCCTCCGTGCCCGTCCCGGGGTCCCCCACCGGCCGCCCCGCCTCTGGAGACCCTCGCCCGGGACCGTCCTCGGCCCCACCCGCACCGGGGCGCCCCCCCCAGAGTTCCGAGGAGCAGGCCGGCAGGGGACCCCCGGCCAGGTTCTCCATCAGGCCCGCCAGCAGCCGGTCCGCGGGGGCCGTCTCGGGGATGAGGCGCCCCAGCCTGCTGGAGCTGCGCAGCATCTTCGAGGGGGACCCGGAGGCCGGGGGACCCCGCTCTCCGCCGCGGGAGAGCCGGAGGAGGGAGAACTCGGAGTCCGGGGGGGGCGAGACCAGAGGCGCAGCCAGAACCGGACCTTCGAGCGGAGGGGCCCTCCCCCCCAGGGTGGTCCCCAAACCGCCGGTGGAGACCAGCGCCGCCCAGATGAGGAACAAGAGTCCCGCCCCCCTCTGGCCGGGGTCCGGCAGTTGTACCCCCGGAACCGCCAACCCAGGCGTGGACCGGCCCGGCTGGAAACAGGACTTCCACGACCGCAGCAAGAGCCTGGACTGGCGGGAGTCCAGCAGGGCGGGGCCCGGGTTCGAAAAGGAGGCCAACGGACCTGTCCGGACCGCCGCCCCAGAGGAGAGGAAGCCCGGGGCGACCCAGTGGGGCTCCAGCCCCCCGAGACCGCCCTGGAACCAGGACCGGGGTGGGGGCTCGGACCAGGCCGGC